AAGAAGTATAAGTCTAATCGTCGAATTCCAAAAAATGCTGCAAAGAAATGCTGCGAGGAGGATTGATGTGTTGGGACAGTGGATACACTGTTATTTACCCTTTAGGATTTGAATCACATAGGCTATGTTTATACATACATACTCTATGTACCCAATTACATATGCTAAGTACTTAATTACATATGCTAAGTACTTAACTATGTACATAAGGTCATATGTAACTTGTGGTCCCATCCTGGCGGGAAGTAAAAAAATCAAATTATGCTGTGGCTTAATCCTTATATGCCTGGATCCTACTTCAATGACCCTATACACCTATGTCAATGAAATTTGATTCTATATATGTATAGACACCTAACATAGCATCTTAAGTGTAAAATTTTTTTGCACTTAAGCGCGTTACAGGCTTTCAGTGGCAGGCACTGTATTGCCGACGTGTTGTCGCAGTGCATATCGACAACATTTCCTTCTCCAGTTATGTCTTCGATGAGGTTCCTCAGCCAGATCGCATCCCTACATGCAGTTCCCATCGCCATGTATTCGGCGTGGCATGTGGACGATGCTACACATGTTTGGCATTTCGATGTCCAAGATATCGGGCAATTGAGGAGGTAGGTGATGAATCCGTGTGCTGACCTCGCTCCTTCTCCACCCCAATTTGCGTCGACATAAGTGTGCAGTGGAGTGATGACTTTTGTTTTGATAGGTTTGATTTGTAGTTGTTGTACTCCTGTGGTGTTCAAGTACCTCATGACAGGTTCAATTGCTTGCCAGTGTTGCTTTCTTGGGTCAGACGAGAAACATGCAAGGTAATTTATGGTGTATGTGAGATCTGGGCGAGTTGCGACGGATAAATAATTAAGACTTCCAATTGCCGATAAGTATTTTTCAGAGTCAATTTTTTCTTCATCTTCTGTTGGCGATAGAGGTATTTTTTGACAGTTCATTGGTGTTTTTGCTGATCGATCATCTGGTAAGAATGATTTGAGGATCTTCTTTGTCAGTCCGGGTTGAGATAAATTGAAACTACCATCTGCTTGACGTGTAACGTTTACTCCCACAATTTGGTCTAGATTCTTTTCCCATTTGATTAGTAATTTTTCTTTAAGTTTTGAGTGAATTTCGTCCAGCAAGGCTTCTGAGCTTCCGGTGACTGCTCCATCATCGCTGTGTAACCAAATTATACAGGTGTCTCCATTACGTCTGTAAATATAGAGTGATTGATCATACTGACTACTTTTGAAACCCATTGATGTTAAAATAGAGTCTATGTGTTTCCACCAACATCTAGCTCCTTGTTTCGTACCATATAATGCCTTAATTGCCTCTAAAACTTGATTCTTCTTACGTGCTTCACACAGATAACCAGTTGGAATTGAGAAATAAACTAGAGAGTCAATATCGCTATGAAGGTATGCTGAGCTAATGTCAAATGAGTGAGTTGGCCAGTTTTGATACGCTGCTATTGTGAGCATAATTCTCAGGCCGGCAAACGTTGCTGTCGGTGCAAATGTTTCAGTGTAGTCTATGCCTTCCTTTTGACGAAATCCTTTTGCCACTAGTCTTGCTTTGAATTTGATTGGGTTCCCATTTTCATCCACCTTCTTATACGCAAACACCCATTTTAAATCTATTGAAACTAATCCCTCAGGTCTATCTACTACTTTCCATACTTTCATTTGATTCATCATTTTCATCTCATTGTCACACGCCTCCTTCCAACTTTGTGATTCTCCGCTTCTCATCGCTTCTGCATAGGACCGTGGTGGTTTGAGTATTTTAAGATAGTCGTCTCCATTTAGAGCATAGTTTGCTGCTGCATCTTGTTTGTCGAGTTTGATTTCTTCCGTAAAGTCTCCCAGCTTTAAGGCGTTGATTATATGTTGTATACTTCCTTTGTTTTGCGTTGTTGAATTTTTTGCGTCATTTAATGCTTCCGAATCAGATGTCTTTTCTTGGTGTTCATGATTGGTGATCTCTTCTTGTTCGTAGGGAAATTTTGCTATCGCTGACGGGAACACTGTTGATGATTTTTCGTCATAAAACAACCAACCTTTGCCACCTTCTACATACCCAATCATTCTGCATTTTCTAGCACGATCTTGAAGTTTTCCAGTACCACGTTGACCAGGATGAATATGTACAAATGCTGTACTACCGAATGTTCGTAAGATATCCAGTTGAGGCTTTCTGTTGTAAAATACTTCATACGGTGTTTTGTTTCCGGTGATTGAGTTGGGTAATCTATTGTGGAGGTATGCTGCTGTCATGTAAGCGAAGTTCCAAAATTTATCAGGGAGTTTACTTGCTGATAAGATTGTTTGCGCCATTTCACCTAAGGTTCTGTTTAGTCTTTCAGCCGTTCCATTCTGTTCAGGTTCATACGGGTTTGAGAATTCGTGTGTGATTCCATTTTCCTTCAGCCACTTTTCCAAATTTGCACCTACGTATTCTCCACCCCGATCAGATTGTACAGTCTTTATTTTGAGATCCGTACCGCGCTCCCATTTCTTGATGGTGTTGATTAATCGTTGGTAAACTTCTGACTTGTGTTTGATGATGCAAACCTCCGAGTAAGATGAAGCTAAATCGCGAAAGGTTACCATTAGTTGTTCTCCTGTGAAACAAGGAGTGAACGGTCCTGCAACATCAGTTACTATGACTTCTAAAACTCTCGGTTCACGATTTGTGCTGCCAAGTATTCTTTGCCTTGTTCCTTTACATTTAAGGCAATCCTCACATGTCACATTTGACTGCTTGACCTCAGGTAGTCCATACTCCTCATTCTTCTTAAATAGGGTCTGGATTCTCTTCATGGATACGTGACCGAGGCGTTCATGCCAAAGTTTAGACAAGTTGTATGATGATTTCATTGCGCATATGTGACAAGACAAGTGAGGGGAATTACAAAATTTGGGACGGTTTTTTCGTGCTTGTATGAACCATCTTCTGTTCTTATGGACTGCATATAAGATCTTTCCACTCTTCAGCTTAATTTGGTAGTTGTTATCTTTTGACATAGTGATTTTCGCTCCACTCGCTATAAGTGCACCAGGTGAGATGATGGTTGTTGTTGCCTTTGGGCAAAAATAAACGTCTTTGATTGTTGCCGTCGATCCATCTTCGGTCATGATTTCAATGTCACCTTTTCCTACTATAACAGCATTTGAGTCATTAGCTGCTGTTTTGATTGGAATAGGAGTAGACAGAGGTTTGTAATTGATAAGAGACTTCTTATCATTGCTTACAGCGTCTGTCGCTCCCCCATCAAAAAGGTATTCAGTAGGAATTTCTGAATCTTGATCCATCAGTCCAAAACCTTCTGATGACCAATCTAAATCAATTACGGCTGCTTCTATTGGTCTGCTGCTTGAATCGTCATTGATTTCGATCGAGTTTAAGTTCGGTTTGGTTGATTGTTGGTTGATAGGTAGAGAGTATTGCTGAGGGTATAGCGTGTTCAAACTGTACCACTTGCTGTTGTTAATTTTTCTCCAATCTCGCCAGTGAGCACCCAACCTATCACTTGTACCATCGTAAGCTTTACAACCTCCTTCACTATAGCTATGACCAAAAGCTCCACAAAAGAAACACTGAGTAATACCAGCCTTGACACCTCCTACCGCAGAGCTTGGAATGTTTAGCGGTTTGTCACCTGATTTTAGACGTTCATCTTCATTTTTCGACCATGCAGGTGGACCTCTCGTCCATCTCATTGGATCGATCTTTGGAGCACGACGATAAGGACTGAAACATTGAGTAGGAGTGTGTTGCGCTGATTGAAAAGATCGATTCGGTGTGAATTGTCTGCTTTGGTTGGGACGTTCTTGGTTGTTCGAGTTGAATGCCATCGCTTCAAGTTGAGTACTAAGATTGCTTATCGTGATTGTCTCAGAGGCTGTCTTCTCTCTTGCCAAATAAATTTGAATCGCAGATTTGATGTCTTTTAATTTGTAAGTAGGATCTCTCTTGTCGTATTTGTTATCAAGTTCTTTGTTGATTTCTTTCGTCATATCTGGAGGCATAACTATTTGATAAAATAATCCACGAACTGATTCAGAGCTCCATACAAATCCAGTTGATTCAAGTTCAGACACGATCGCATCTACATGTGACATGTGAGTTATCATTTCTGTTTTGTTGAGATCTAATCTTAAGTGCATGAGTCGATTGAAAAGAGAGAATTGTGTTGTCCGTCCTCCTTTCCTAAAATGATTTTGTAAGTAGTTCATAGCATCATAAGCACTGTCCGCGTCATCGGTAACATTCTTCAAGGTGTTGTGAATGGTGTTGTTGATGATGCTCGCAGCCAGTCCGTCTCGCTTTCTGTCTATGTAAGTGGTTATAGGCAGAGTCTCGTCCCAGTAGTTTTTGATGCCGATCAGAGCTTTGATTGCACGCGTGGTATTCTTCTTCCATTCGATGAAGTTTGATCTGTTCGCAGTTAGATGTTCGAATTTGATTTTGTCTGCTAGGTTCTCTCTGGCTTCCGTGATGTCTTGTGCCGTGAGCGTAATAGTCGTAGTTGTTTCTTGAGTTGATTTATTTTCAGAAGACATGTTGTGAATTGTGTGCGTAAAGAAACGTGCTGGGAAGGTAACAGGGTTTTCGTTGAATTTGAGTATAGGATGCGTAAACGTAGTGGGTTGATCACAAAGTGGAAGCGTATTCGGTATTCTATCAACAGTATAATGTGATACAGTATCTGTATCGCGTAGACTTAGTTGC